GCCAGGCAGCCTCACAAAATAAACAGAACAAGAAAGCACCTTTATAAGTAGGTTGAGGCCAGATATGCAGCTTTCTCAGCCCTCCCTTGAGGAGGATGAAACTGTTGGCTCTTTCATGAGGAGTTATTTTTTGTCAGAAGTGTGTATTAAACTCATTTTCTATCTGTGTGCAGCACTCGATACAATGGGATCCTGGGCATTGCCACAAAACCTATAAATAAAGACTGACAATTAAAGAAGAATCAAGGGGCCAGATGCTACTCTCACATCTGTGTGTGTAAACTTGGGATAACTTGATTGCCTTCTGTGAAGTTACTGTGTATTTATTCTGTTGTGACTGAGAGCAGACTCTAGATTAACATGTCCCCTCCCCTCACCTTAGGTTTGAAAAAACCACAGCTCAGCCTGTTTCAACCTGTCTGTATTTTGACTTGTTAGAATATCCCTTTCCCACCAGTTCTCTACTGGCCTTTTAAGTTGAAACTGGAATGTCAAACCCCAAAGTAAAATTAAACAAAAGCCTTTCAGTTGACACTCCTCAATCTTCTGAAGAAAGCCTCCTGCTACCCCTGTTCTGCCTTGAGAAGCTGCAAAGGTAGGGCACAGCTACAGATTCCCTTTTGTTTGCTGTTCCCTTCCGTATACATAACTGTAGTAGGTTCTTGGCCAGTGGGGCAGCCATGACATGTTCCCTGCCTGGCTCAGGTTCTAATGTAGCCCTCCCTTCTTCACTTTCCTGCCATGCCTTGTTCGTATTAGAGATAGTGTAAGGGAGGCTGGCCATGGGCTGTTATGAAAGAGCCTGAGTCCCTGCAAATCACTACCAGGCCCCTCCTGGATTCCCTTTGCTTTAGCTCAGCCCTCAAGCTAATAGGCCCGTCTCAGCTCACCTATGCCTCTGCAGGGCACCTCTAGCCTTAAGTGGAAATCACTACCAGGCCCCTCCTGGATTCCCTTTGCTTTAGCTCAGCCCTCAAGCTAATAGGCCCGTCTCAGCTCACCTATGCCTCTGCAGGGCACCTCTAGCCTTAAGTGGAGACTGCATGGCTCTATTCCTCGCTTACACCACACCCCAAGCCTTGCGGGTGTTGCTGAACCATTATGCACTCTGTAGGGGTCTTGATCTTATCAGCCTTCTCCCTCTATGCGTGAGGCCTCGGTGACCCAAGTGTTAACGGGACAGATTCAGTCCCACTGTAGATGCTACATTTACAGCATTGTCTTTTATTCGCCCAGTTGTTAAACAAGTTTCCCACCCCTAGTTGGAAGGCCTCCAGGCTTTGGAACTGTGTTTTCAAGTATGGCTCCAGGTAGGCTTAACAGTTGGCACCTCTGGTCCACGGGGTACTGATCTGGTAACGTGTAGACAGCTTTTGGGGAAGCATGAGATGACATAATGCTGAACTCCTTTCTGCTGGATGTGGTATCTGCAGGGTCAACTGAATAACTGTTATTGTCCATAGCACAGTGCAGGCCAGGGGGGATCTCTCCCGTAACCTGGGGACAAGTTGCAACTGATGTTTTTGAGATGTTCCAGTGCTGGCATGAAGACTCCAAGCAATGAATGAGTCTGCAATTGGTTTCTTATTCCCAGTTCCTGTTTTCTTATTCCTGATTCCTTGTTCTCGGTTCCTGGCTTCTATTTTCAAAGCTAATCTTTTACATAAAGGTTGTTAGTAATGAATTATACAAGCTAAACAGTTTGAATTTAATCAAAGTGTATATTTACTAAAAAAAATGTAAAATAATATAATGTATCAAGTACATAGCCCTGTCTGCCCCAAAGCTCGGCTTGGCTTTTGCGTGTCAGGCTGCCAATTCACAGACCTTGAGGCCTAAATAAAGAGCTGAGTTTGGGTTGGGATTACAGGTAAAAATCCTTTTTGGGTCAGCCTTCCACTTTTCCTTTGTAATAAACCTGTTTTAATTTAATATTTGCTTATGAGTGGACAGGTTTGTTCACATTAGAACACCCAAGTTCAAATTTACTTTACTAAGTTGCTGGGTGGGAGCTCAAGGTAAATTAGATAAGTTGGTATATATTTGCACACAGCCATTCTTACTGCCATCTAGTACAGAGATCAATTTTGGAATTTAAAAGGAACTCAAGATCTATCCCCCCCACAGCAGGTAAGTCTGTGGGGAAGGGATGGGGGAGGGGAAAGGGCCGTGGGGTGAGGCGTGGCAGATCGAGGCCCTGCCAACCTCCACTCCCAGCGCCACAGCCACCTGCCAGCTCGGCTGGAACAGGCTGGCGCACCCTTCCAGCCACCCTCCCCCACACCCACCAATCCCTGGCCACCATGTCCTCAGGGGTGGGGAGGAAGGGATAAGGAGGGAGGAAGACTGTGCTGGGTTGTTCCCACTGGGCCTGGCCCACGCTGCACTTGGGGCAGGTGGCTGCAGTGCTGGGAGCAGGGGTCGGGGGGGCTACGGTCCCCCTCTGTGGCCTTGCTCACAGTGCCGCCGCTGCCACCTGGCCCTGCACAGCCCAGCCGGGAGCAGCCCGGCAGGAACAGCCCACACCTCATCCTGTCCTGTCCTGGCCCTCCCTGTGGGCAGATCCGGGGGCATGCGCTCCCCTATGCTCTCCTGAGCTGCATGCTCCCCCTCCCCATGCCCCCTGGACGAGCCGCTCATGGCTTCGTACCCCACCCTGTGCCGGCTGTGCAAGGCCTGCCCCTGCTCCAGCCCTGCTACCTACTTCAGAGCTGCAGCTCTCAGCACTGCCCCACATTTGTGAGGGGCACACATGCCCCCCCATCTGTGTGCAGCAGAAGCGGCTTCTGCTTCAGGCTGGGCTTTGTGCCCAAGCCCTGCTGCACATGCCCTGCAGGCCTCTGCCCCTTCCCCCCCTCACCAACTGACCTGCTGGGCTGGGGGAGGCGTGCACACGCATGCTCAGACCCCCAGCCCAGGATCAACCTCAAGAGGCTCCGGAATGGTGACCACTGGTCTAGTGCCTGGCTGAACAGCAACATACAGGCCTTACAGGATGGATGTTAACTGGCAGGCTGGCACTCAAAAAAGGAGCTTTGGTTCAAGCAAGGACCTGCCCAGGCTTCTTCAGGAGAGCCCTTGGTGGTGACATATGTTTTGGCGTGATCCAAAGTGAGTTTTGCCCTGTAATCCCATCCTAAAAGCAGCTCCTTATTCCTAGCACTGTAGCACACAGGTCTGGGGGCTGGCAGTTGGCAGGCTGGCATGTAAAAAACAAGCTTTGGGTCAGGAAATGCTGTGCCCAGGCTTTTCCACAACAGTCTCCTGATGGCAGAGACATGGTCTGGGGTGACCTGACAAGGATTTTCACCCATAATCCCAGCCCAAAACTAGCTGCTTATTTGGAGCTATGTAAAGAGTACACAGGCCTGGAGCCTGGCTCACAAAAGCCCAGCTTTGGGCTGGGCAGAGGTCTGCCCATGCTTCTTTGGGAATGTTCCCTGATGGCAGAGACACGTCACCTGGGGTGACTGGAAAAGTATTTCCACTGGTACTCCCAACCCAACCCAAGCTCTTAATTCAGGCCTGAGAGGCCGTGAGAAGCTTGAGAAGGGTCCAGAGGAGAGCCACACACATGGTTAGAGGACAAAAGAGCAGGACTTACAAGGAGAGGCTGAGGGACATAGGACTCTTCTGTCTGAAGAAGTGCAGGCTCAGGGGTGACTTGGTGACAGCCTATAAGTATATAAGGGGTGTGCATCAGGAACTGGGAGAATGTCTGTTCACAAGGGCACCTCAAGGGAAGACAAGGTCTAATGGTCACAAACTACTGGAAGACCATTTCAGACTGGACATTAGGAAAAACTTGTTTACTGTCCAAGCCCCCTGGGCTTGGAACAGACTCCCCTCAGAGGTGGTGCAAGCACTTACTCCAGACACTTTCAAGAAGCACTTGGATGTCTATCTTGCTCGGATCCTTTGATCCCAGCTGGCTTTCTAGCCCTTGGGCAGGTGGCTGGACCTGATGATCTTGTGAGGTCCCTTCCAGCCTTAATGTCTATGAATCTATGTGAGTTGCCAGCCTGCCGCGCAGAAACCAAGCTTTGGGATGGGCAGCACTGGGCCCAGGCTCCTTCAGAAGAGTCCTCCCATTGCAAAGATGTGTGCTTTGGGGTGAACTGAAGAGGATTTTGCCTCATAATCCCAGTCTAATCCCAGGTTTTTTTCCAAGGTTATGAATTTGAAACATGGTATTACTGTACAAAGTTATTAGTAAATACACATTTTGGATGAAATCCTAACTCTGTGATAGATGCAATTCATTTCTAACAACCTTTCATCGTGTAAGGATAACTGCAAAACTAACCAAAACCTGGAATAAGGAACCAGGAACAAGGAACCAACTTCAGCCTGGTGAGCCATGGAGGATCCACCTTGCCCCAGGCCGCAGAACTCCCCTTCGCCCTCACGAAGCCGCATGACTCAGGAGGGTTTGCCAAGCCCCAGGAGCAGGCGGCAGCCGGGATGAGCCCGCCCCCGCGCCCCCTTCCCCAGTCCAGCCCAGCCTCTCCGTGGGCCCGCCCGGCAGGGGGCGCCACAAGCCCCTAGCAGCCCCGCGCTCACAGCGCACCTGGCTCACGCCCGGCGGCCGAACCCGCCCACCACTGCCTCTCGGCCTTGTATTATAAAAGGCTAGCCTTTTATTTTGGGCTCCGGCTCCTTCCTCGTCCTTTCTGTTGTCATTGGCCAAAGCGCCTTTCACATCCCGCCCACCCCTGCGCCTTCGCCTTGCGAAGTAGATCTTCACCCAGTCGGTTCCCAACCAGATGATTGGGCCTCTCCCGCCGGCTTTCTGCCCCGGGATTGGGCGTGCCTCATCGATGACTCGTCCTCCCTCGGCCTGGGACACTGTAATCTCATTGGGCAGCGGGCCTAAGGCCCCGCCCCCTCGCTCTGGGCGCTGCCGCCACTTTCAGGGTTTCGGGGAGGCGGCCACGCCTTCGGTGACGTTGCCGCTCGCGATTGGCGGCGCGCTCGGGTAGGGCTTCCGGTGCGGGGCGACCGGGCGGCAGCGGCGGCTGGAGGATGGAGCGGGCTGGTGGCGCGGCGCGCGCTAATGGGTGCAGCATCGCGGCGCATGGGGCGCTGCGCAACGGCTACGTGCGCGGCCTGCCCGGCGCGGCCGGCACACAGGTGCGCGGGGCAGGGGGCAGCTTGGCCTGGGCTGGCGCCACGAGGCTCCGCGTTCCCGGCTGGGCCGGGAATGATCCTCTTCCCCTTCACACCGACATGATCAGGCCGGGCCAGACTCTGGGGGCGTCGTTGGGGTAGGGCCAAGCTCTCGCCTGCTGGAGCCCTGCGGCCCGTTTCCTCCCTCCCCTCCGGGCACCCGGGCCGGGCTGGGGCAGGCGCACGTGGGCGTCTGTTGCAGCTCCGGGTGTGGCCTCAGTGAGCGGCCGTGCTAGCTCCCCCCCACCATTGGGTTGGCCCCGGGGCTATGGAGGAGGAAAGTGAGGAGTCCTTATAGTGCAGCGTCTGTTTGCCTTGTTGCCCTGGTGTCGGTATCCTGGGCACTACTGGTCTGTTTGGGCACGTCAGGTTGTCCCCCCTGCTCCCTGCACTAGGTAGCACCACTGTCTTGTGAGGACCGTGTCAGCTGGCTGGAGCCAGTGCCTTTCCAGGTGTCACTGGGACCTCATGGCTGTAACAGAGAGTCCTGTTGGCTACTGGTGCGGTTCTCACGCTAAAGTTAAAGTACTAAGTGTGGCAGCGAGTAGAGAGTTGGAGGGGTAAGACGACTGTGAGAAGAGCTCCTCTTTTCAGGCAGGTTGAGCTTCTCACAGCCTTCTGTGGGAAGCAGGAGACATCAACTGCAACATCTTGTGCAGTGGTTCTGATGTATTCTGGTGACGTCCTCCCCAGCGTACCTGTCTTGTAGGAGGGAATCTGTGATTACCATGCTGACCAGCATCAACCAGGAGGAGGGAATGTCATTACCTTAGTGTAGGAATATGTGGAATGTCTTTTCCTGTTAAGGGATGAGATTCAGTTATGTACCTGGCAACTGTCATCTTTCCTCTGAATGCAGCTGTAGCTGGGGAGGAATGTAGCAATTGCTTAACAGTGATCAGCAGTCATGTAGTGATTCTGAAACAGAAAGCAAAGGATTTCTCAGCATCAGCTAAGTAAAGTTGCTGATTTAAAGTATGAATTAGTGAAACGGACTGAGAAATGAAACTGGAACTTCTGGGCCTTTTCCTTTCAGTAGAAAGGAAAAGTGAGGGAAGCTAGAGAAAACCATAGTTAAAAATAACTCCGTTTCTGCTTTGTGATGGCTTAGCACAGTGGTTCTCAGCCTTATTGGATTCAAGGTACCCCTCCAGAACTCTTGTGAATTGAATGGCATCCAACTTCAAAAACTAATTATTCATATTTCAGTTCTTGCCTCCTTATACAGGGCCTGGACAATAAGTGTGGGGCATCATCCAGGCAGGGACAAGCCTGAGCTTGGCTTATCTGCCTAGTTTACCTGCATGTCTCCCCACACCTCATGGTACCATTCAGAGGACCTAATGGGACCTTGCAGTGCCCTGGCATCCTTTGCTTTAGCACTATGACTTGTGGGACTGTATCTCTACATTCAAGGATAAAGCATAACCAAACACTTTGCTAGTGTGTCTACAAAAATAAGTTTATATAAGACTTAATTAAATGGGGAAGTTTTGGGGAAAGGTGTGGCAGTGATGTGAGAAATGATCATGGTGACGGCAGGCACTTTGCCCATCTAGAGTTGCCAGCCTGGCAACTCGCACCCCCTCAGGCCTGAATTAGGAGCGGGGTGTCCCTTTCTTCCCCAGCTTCCCTTCTGTGCTTTCCTTATGGGTTTTGTTTGTTTTAGTTTATAAAGTTTTGATTTGACATGTATGGTACCTAGCATCAGGAGGCCTCACTGTGCTGCAGCCGTATAAAGAATGCTGTATGACGTAAAAATTGTGTGCACGCTTGTCCTATTCAGTAGTTCACTTTTGAGGGTGTTTTAAAGGGGATGGCACAGTCTGTATTTTGGGAAACTTTTGGGTAATGCTTTTGGGAGGGATTTTTGTGGCCTGAAGTTAATGAGGTGTAGGGTTGAGAGAAATGTATCTCTTTAATTTAGGCAAGTATTGTTCAGAACTGCTGTTCAGGGTATTCCTGGCAGTTAACAGTGCCAGGGGAAGTAAAATGTATTGGATGCAGTTTTCCAAACTGTTTTAATCCAGAAGGAATCTTTATTTTACAGTATCAAAATTGCATTGGCTTGATTATGTAAGGGTGACTCCAGACTTCTGTTGCTATCAAGACATGCAGAAAGAATCATAGGAGGCTAAACAATACAGCCTTGTATTCCCTTCTCTGGTTTGCTTGTGAAAGGCATGAAGTTCCCTTTACTTGATTTTCTTTAGGTAGATATTATGCTGAAGGAGGGGAAAATGTTAAGTTTCTTGGTGTATGTATAATCAGTAAAAGAACTCTTAGTATGCCACTTTTCTAAAGGCACAGTTTGGAATGAAATAATTAAGCTGAAGTATTTTAACTGGAATATGTGTTGTTCAGTGGTGCTCTGTACTAAAAACAGAACAAAATCCCACTAGTTATTTCAGCTTTGCAAAATTGTCATTAAAACTTGCTGACTCAAGCGCAGTCTTTCTGCCTATGTTTTACTGCAATGGGAAGAAAAATCTCTGCTGTTTTACCTGTTAGAAGTGGGTGGGTGTACTTGATGGCATTTTGCAAAGCTGAGACCTGTTTGAAATAATGGTTCAGGTTCAGCTGCAACCCAACGATTTTTTTCCCCCTATAATTTTAACTTAAAGAATGAAGCTTTGCATTTAAAGATGCTAGGCATAGGTCAGGAATACCAAATGCTCTCAGAGCTCTGCAATGGATCTGGATTGTAAGGCCATGCCTTCCTGATAGGGGGTCTGTAGCCAGGAATTCAGCAGTGGGCCCTGTGCCTGCTTGCCCCAGCCTCTCCAAAAGCCCCGGAAGCAGGGTGAAATGGCTCTGCAGGACATATGGCCCTTGGTCATATCTCTGATACGCATGGTATAGATGAAGATTTTTTTTGATATAGTGGTAAAGAAGTTGCACAAAATGCTACCATGATTTAACCTTCAGGTTAATCTGTTTGCTCTACTTGGCCACAACTTTATGGAAAAGGCTGAGTTGAATACAGTCCTTGGTATCCTGCTTCACTAACAACTGATGATGCAAATATATATATGCTTTGAGATTCCTCTTGATTTTAGAGCAGAATTCTGATGTTACTCAGAAAATCAAGGTGCTTGATAGACTGGGATCAGCTTACTGTTGATCTTGTACTATTACTATATTTCACAAGAATGATGCAGTTCAGTCATAATCTAGGTCTGCTATCAAAAACTACAGATAATGGGGCATGTGGCCAAGAGGGCTCATAAAATCCTTGCCAAAGGGTCACATTGAGTCTAGGTGTGAGGGTGCTGACATGGTCAAGGTATGCCCTTTAATCTTTCTGAGAGAGCTTCGCAGGCAATGAATGTGTCCATGTTTTTAAATAAAGTCTTAAAACCAATCCATTTCCTCTGCCGTGAAAGAACAGAAAAGGGGCGCACCTTTTTGTTCCACTACTGCATGCCTCTCAGTGCAGTGATATTTTTGGCATAGATTTAGCCAGTGGTAAATGTGCTGTACAGAGAAATATCACCTATTAAGCTGTTATTAGTTTAAAAACGCCTTCTGACTTAGCAAGAAACTGTTTCTACATTAGCCACAATGTGGGGTGTAACTTCTGAATTTGAGTTGCAGTGCTGTTTGACTGGTGTTTGTTACCACTGCTTATATAAGTGGAGTGAAAGATGAAGGTTCTTGGCCAAAAGTGCAAATATGACAGTGTTGATAGAGAAAGAAGGGACACCAAAAAGTTCTAGTTTTATGGTGTGGTTATCTTTTCACACAAATTTGGAGGTGGAGGTCTTGTGTTCTGTTCCCATCTTTTTCTTACTAACGGTCAAGTGTCTAATATTCAAACTGAAATATTTGAAGTTAAGCACTAAAGATGTCAAATGGTATGCAGAGGCAGAATGGTTAAGGCCATGATTCTCAACCAGGGTGCCATTGGATCCTTTTAATGCTGCAAATGTTGCATGGTATCTTTAAGTGTGCAAATACCTATGTATGATTCACAAGATAAACCCAGAGATTTCAAATAGGAATCCAGGGTGTCACAAACATTTGGACCTGCTCTCGTCTTTCTGAGTTGTTTTACAACAGAAGAATGGCTCTACTATTTTTATGTATTCAAAAACTGAATGAAGGCTAAGAGATGGCATTTTCTGAGGGGGGCCTTGAGTCTTAAAAGGTTGAGAACTACTGGACTAAGGTTTCTTGAGGTGAACTTAGCTCTGAAGGCATGAGTTCAAGGCCTATTTTGGGTTTATGCCTATAACTGCCCCCAGCTGATGCATCTCTCTCTCTCTGTCTCCTGCCCCCCCCCCCCCCCCCCCCCCC